TGTAGCCGGCAGCCGCCAGACAAGCAACTCCATCGTTCCTCACTCTGCGTGCAACCAGCAGCTCTTCGGACACCTGGCAGCCATCCTCAGCTATTCAGAAGTAAAGGTTTTTTTTCCTTTTGAGCTTTTGCCTATCTATATCTACCTAAACAAGGAATCTATACAAAAATAAAAAGGGAGATAATTCTCTGTGCACAATTTGGAGAGTCCAATCTATCTGATTTAGCTCCCCAAAATTTGTCCTAGCGGGTGGACTGAGTTTTTAAACTGATCTCAATGAGGCAAAGGAGACATGGTTAAAGAAAAATCTACTCAATTCTAGGGCAGATATACTGTATTTAACCCATGCTTGGACTCTCCAAGCAGCGCACAGGAGAATAAGTGGATTTTGGGTTGCAGTTTGGGCACACGGTCTCTAAAAGGTTAGCCATCACTGCTATAGTATGACTGACATTAGGAACTGGCTTAGCCAGGACAGACTCCCTAATCTTCCTTGCCTCTTTATTCTTAAGCATGCGGTTCCAGAAACAGGAAGAACTTGGCAGGTAACAATGCACCAAATTAGCTGTCATTTTCAGCAGGGTAAGTTCCTTCCTATTGAAAATAGTATACACGATCATGTGGCAGATGGAAAATAACACCTATTAAGCCTTTAATTCTTGAACACAGTTAATTAATTGATGCATAACCTAACAAAAAACATTTACAAAGACATAAATCAAGTAATCCGATCAAGGTAAAGAAGCAAAGGATCAGCTCATAAAAATCATAGTATGGGGCTGGAAGAGGACTTGCAAAATATTTGGAGACTTCCTTTTTTTTTTAGATAGCAAGGTAGGCTCTTAATATACCCATTTTGATTCTGGGCTGTGCTTCCCTCCTTTCCTCAGGCATGTTAAGAAGAATTTCTTCTGGGATCAAAGAGGTGCAAAGACAGCACAAAGCACTTCCTCCTTATCCATGTTTTCTCATTATTCTCCTCCTGGAAAAATGTTTTATTTATATCTTTCAGTTTTTCCCAATGCACCTCTTTCTCAGCTTTAGTTTTCTTGATGCTATCCTTATTGATTTCATTAACCAGTTTGTATATCCCTTTTGTTTTCAGTCAATCATTCCCTACACATCGTTTTCATCCAACTCTGCCTTTTTAATGGGAAATTGTAGAGAGCTGTGCAGTTTTCTGCCTGAGGATGTATGTAAATATTTGTTTGCTAAGCACAAAGTCTGAGCACATAGTTGAAAGGAAAGGGAAATATAGCAATGCATGTCAGACAAAAGTGTGGCTAGAAATCAGCTCCAGCATTTCAATATGAAAATGTATGGCTTCAAGGTAAAACAGATTACTTTATCCTGGTTCTTGTGCTTTTCACCTTTGAAAAAGAGATCTCTGTTGGGTTAGGGTGAAAAGAATCTAAAAAATCACCCTCATTCAACACTGCCTAAAATTGAGAAGAATGGAGAATTAAATATTGGTAGTAACGGCCTCAATTAACTATTTCCTAGATTTTTTTAAATAAAAGCCTTAGCATAACTTTTTGATGAGAACAGGGACCAGGATATCACTAAAATATATATATTAATCACTTTCATTGATGTTGTGGATCACCTGAAAACACAGGGTAATATAGCCCCTACTGTACTCTCCTTTTGGAAGGCCATTACAACCATTTCAACCCATAACTGTATGGCTAGACAACTGTTCATTTGTTTTTATGTGTTTTAGATGTTTATGATCTTAACATAATATGTTGTGTGTGATGCTAGATTTTGTGATCTTATTTTCAGTTTAACTGTTCTAAAGTGCCTTGAGTTTATGGACTAGACTAGGATTAAATCAATTGCCATAAATAAATAAATAAATAAATGAATGAATGAATGAATGAATGAATGAATGAATGAATGAATGAATGAATGAATGAATAGACTTAACCCAGTTGTAGCAATTAAAATAATCATTATGAGAGGAGATGAAGGAAATATGTCATCAGATCAATTTTGAGCGTTTGTCTGAACACTGAATCTGCACAATATAAAAAGAATAACAACATGAATAGATAGTAGTCAGCTTTAATGATCTTCCATCTATTGCAGATTCTAAAATGCATATTTTTCAGCAGTGGGGGAAATATAGATTGATTTAATTGCTACAACTGGGTTAAGTCTATTCATTCATTCATTCATTCATTTATTTATTTATTTATTTATTTATTTATTTATTTATTTATTTATGGCAATTGATTTAATCCTAGTCTAGTCCATAAACTCAAGGCACTTTAGAACAGTTAAACTGAAAATAAGATCACAAAATCTAGCATCACACACAACATATTATGTTAAGATCATAAACATCTATAACACATAA